TGAAAACTTTTCAAATGTATAAGCATATCAATATTTAAAATATGATCCAAGAAGAGTCTGCGTATATATGACTCACAATTTCATTTATCATCAAATATTTACTCACTGATTTACTTACTGATTATATGAGGCATGTGAAAAAGTAACCATTTTATTACCTCTTTTCTATCTACAAGTTAAGGTACTTTAAGCTATAAATTCTTTAGATTACTTGCTCAACCAAACCCACCAAACGCATTGCCATCAAGTAGATTTCAACTCATAGGTGACCCTATGGGACAGAGTAAAACTGCCCCACAGGGTTTCCAAGGCTGTAAATCTTTACAGAAGCAGACTGCCACATCTTTCTCCCACAGAGTAGCTGGTGGGTTCGAACCACAGACCTTTTGGTTAGCAGCCAAGTGCTTAACCACTGCACCATCAGGCCTCCTTACTTGCTCAACAATCACCTACAATTCACGTACATTTACTTTCATATCTTAAGTAATACCTTTGTTACCAAAAGCAAGTTCTGAATAAACTCTTCCAAAACTGTATGTAAATTAATACATATCTATACTTCTCCCATTAGCAAAAGCTAAAAGGTGGTTATACCATATAGATCTATCAATGATCTAGTTTTCATTGCGACTTAAGAAAAATATTTGAAGAGGTTTGTGTTAAGACAGTATCGAAAAAAAGCCTCTTTAATTACAGTCCCTGAGTAGTGTTTTAATAGTTAACACGCTGGGCTGCAATGCAAACTGAAGGTTGAAGGCTTGAGTCCACCCAGAGGCACCTCAAAAGAAAGGCCTATCGATCTACTTCTAAAAAAGCGGCCACTGAAAACCCTATGGAATGCAGTTCTACTCTGATAAGCATGAGTTCATCATGAGTTGGAATCGACTCGAGGGCAATCAACAACAACAACATAACTTTAATACCAGAGGTAGAAGCTCCCTAGTTGTAGTGATCATGTAGCAACCTAATCTGGAAAACTTTAGACCTGGAGTCAATTTAACAGCATTTTTTAGATGACTTTCTCAATTGCATTACCTAATTATGAAAATCCTATCAGCACTGTCTTGAGAGGCCTGCAAAACAAATGCTGGGCCTGCCATTGTGTATTCAGTCATGTACAGAGGCCTAGTGGCCTGCAAACTGATGGTTCTTTTATTAGAATTCTGTTTTAAATGGACAGCAAATTTCCAAAAATGGGGTTAAAAGAGTATTTATCGAAAATTTCAAAAACTAAGGGAGCCAGGGAATTAGATGTGATAAAGAAGAATAATAGAAAGGACCATACTTTACAATCCTAACAAAAGCTCTCACTTATTAACTACCAATTGTACCTTAGCACTAAAACTGGCATTTCAACAAAAATCTTAACGTTATCCTTTTAACAATTCTTTAATGTTTAAACACAGAAATCCCATCCTTTTACCTACTCTAGCATTTCTCTCCTCTTTCTTCTGTGTAAATTTCTTCTCCTTTACTGAATCTTTCCCATTAACTTCCACTGTTACTTCTACCCTCTTAAATTTAAAACAACAAAACAACTATTAATCTCACTTCCTCTTCAGCTACAACTCTGTACTCTTCTTCCCTTTTATGTCATGGTCTATGGGAACTGCACCATCTGGAATTATGCAGTGTGTAGTGTGCTGGAATTGTCTATACTTGCTGCTTCCAATTTCTCTCCCATTTTATCCTTAAGTAAACTGCAATTAGGCCTTTGCTCCCACTAATCCATTAAAATTGCTCTTATCCAAAGGTCAGCAAATTTTTTCTGTAAAGGGTGAGACAGTAAATATTTCAGGCATTGTGGCCATACAGTCTGTCATGCTTTTTTGTTTATTTTTTTAACAACCCTTTTCAAAATGCAAAAACCACTCCTAGCTCACCTGCAATGTCACCAAATACCTCAGATGGTCAATTCCCACTCTTCACCTTACTTGACCTATCAGCATTATTTGATACACACTTTGATCACACCCTCCTCCTTGACAGACTTTCTTCACTTGGCTTCCAGGACATCACTCACATTCTCCTGAATCTCCTCCCACCTCACAGGTAGCTCCTCTTCTAGTCTTCTTTGCTAAATTCTTCAATTTCCCAACTCATTACACGGGAATGTCCCGAAGTTCAGTCTTGAGTTCTCTTCTCTATCTTCACCCCTTGGTGATACCGTCCAGTCTCATTAGTCTTTCCAGTTGGTCTGGCTAGCTTTGACTCCTGTATCTTACACCCCACATCCATCAGCTAATCCTGTTAGTTTTACCTTCAATATATACCCAGAAGCTGACCATTTCTACTGCTGCCACTCTGGGTCAAGCCACCACCATCTCTGAACCTGGATTATAGCAGTAATCTCCAAATTAGTCATGCCATTTCAACTTTTGCCTCCTTCAGTCTATCCAGAGAGTACCAGAGGGGATCTAGTTAAAAACTAAGTCAGATCATGTCACCCCTCCATTCAAAACACACCTACCGTTTCCCATTTAACTCAGAGTAAAATCCAACGTCCTTACAATGATCTACAAGGCTGACCATGATTTAGCTACCCTGTTTCCACCTGGACACCTCTACCTGGTGGCGCAGTGGTTAAGAGCTCAGCTGCTAACAAAAAGGTCAGCAGTTCAAATCCACCAGCTGCTCCTTGGAAACCCTACGGGACAGTTCTACTCTGTCCTATAGGGTCGCTATGAATCGGAACCAACTCGACAGGACCTTACAACAATAACAACAACCTCTTTTCTCACCTCTTGCTCATTCTGCTCAGTTATGGTTCAAACCCACTAGCTGCTCCATGGGAGAAAGATGTAGCAGTCCTCCTTCTGTAAAGATTTATAGGCTTGGAAACCCTATGGGGCAGTTCTACTCTGCCCTATAGGGTTGCTATGAGTTGGAATTCGACTCGTTGGCAACGGGTTTAGTTTTTTGTTTCTTCCACTAGAGTGAATAACTAACACCTAGCATAATATCTGGAGCCATGGTGGTGCCGTGGTTAACCATTCAGCTGCTAACCAAAAGGTCGGCAGTTCGAATCCACCAGCCACTCCTTGGAAACCTTATGGGGCAGTTCTACTCTGTCCTATAGGGTTGCTATGAGTCAGAATCGACTCCACGGCAACTGGTTTTTTAGCATAGTACCTGACCTTAAGTAGGCAGTACATGTAGAAATGAACTAACTAACGTTACATAAATGTGCTTATGATGCCACTGTAAATTAACAGTAGGTTTTGGGGAATTTTATGATTTATATTCTTCTTCCTTTGTAGATTTGCCAGATTTTCTTTCTGTGTGTAATTTTACAGTGGAAAAGAAAATACACTCATATACATATACACTGAATCACAATGTAATAACAGCACTGCAGTATGTATAAAATTTCTTATAAAAACAATTCCTCAAACTTTTATTTCTTCTCTCAAAATACACAAAACCAAATAGACAAACTATAATGGGAAAAGCCAACAAGGCATCTAGTCTTTCTATTACCTGAGTGGAGTTAGATAGTTGGTTTTTCCACGGCTCCTCTGCGCTGCTGGTCAGGTTTGTGCGGTTATGAGGTAGAGTGAGTGCGTTTCGCTGCAGGTAAGGCACGTTTCCATTACTTCCACTTCCTGTTATGTGATTATTGCCTATCAAAATAGTGTCTGTACTCCCCAGCGTTCTTGATGTGCTACAGGGAACGTGGCCTGTAGAAAAGGGTCCATTGGCCAAAGGCTGCCCAGGGCAGGCAGGGCGGACTCCAGGTTGAGAGACGCTAGGCACTCTGGTCAATGCAAGCTGTGGCTGCTGGCCAGAGACAGAGTTTGTAGGCAGTGACGAGTCAGCTGTTGGCCCATTAGCAACTCCAGTAGATCGTACCTGTGCAACTCCTGTTTGTCTCATCTATCAAAAACAAATGAATAGTAAATGCTGCCTGTGTGGTCCACTAGGAAGAAGAATCAGAATAAGATGTATAATCAAGGAATCTCTGATTTTAACCTAACATTTAATTTCTTTAGGCTGAAAAATACACATATTGAAAACAAGAAAATGTGTCTGTTCATTTTTAGATAAGCTTTCAAGGAAAAGCAAAAATCTGTTTGGCTTAAAGAAACATCCCTTTAATAATGACAAATAAAGTAGCTGAAAATAATGGAAAAGAAATCAGGAAGCTATAGGTCTTTAGCCCATCACAAAACAGGGGATTTCAAAATTTCATTGTTACACTTATGCCAGATCCTCCAAACTAAAACAATCACAAAAAAACCTCACCTTGGTTTAGAATAGCTTGTTAAGTGTTTCTAAACCCTTAGAACACATGCAAAATAGCATGTAAATAAATAAAATACCAAGTGTTATGTTCAAAATTAAATTCATAGATTTATTTTCTAAAAATCTCTGTTCATTACTAGTATTTTAAGAAGCAGAGATTACTAAATTCTACCAAATACAGGTAGAAAGCAGAAGTGGGCATGAACATACTCTAAAATGATGTGACAGTCAATATAAAAATATTCAAACTGCTAACAAATTTTAGGAAAAACAAATGCTATACACACTTGGTGTTGCTGCATTAAGACAAACTGACTTTCCAGCTGTTCCAGCATCAGTTTCTGAGCTGGATTTAAATTATTTCTATTTGCACGGAGCTGTTCCAAGTGCTAGAAGAAGAAAAAAGGAGAATATAGTCAAAGATATAGCTAAGAAACAAGCTCCTACTCTAAGCATCTTTTCCCTGAAATGACTAGATAAACTCAGAACCTTTGTCTGGTCAAAAATACTAATTTCTGACCAACAGTAATCAACCCCAAGAGGAAGTCCTTTAAGAATTCTGAGAAAAGCAAGTAAGAGCTAAACATTCATCTGAAGAAGTTTACTGTAATGTGATCTTTAAGATAAATGGGAATGAAATTTTCCTCAGTAATAACAAAATTTCACATAGAAAGCCATAGAGCTTAAAAATGCATTATGACCAGTATGCTCAAAGTAGCACTGTTCGGAATAGGAAAAGTTTGAAAACAACCTGAATGTCCAAAATTAAGGATCTGGTTAAATAAAGGCATGGCATCTATATAAAGAAATATGATGACAGCCATAAAAGAACAAGGAAGCTCTTCATATACTGACATGGAAAGGTCTGTAAAATAAATTATTAACAATATAAATAGCATCTAACCATCTGTATAAAAAAGAGAAAAATAATGAAAGAAGTGGGGTGCAGATTTGCTTATACGTGCACAATATGTCTCTGGAAAGATACATAAGAAACTAACACTTGGCTGTCTGTTAGGAAGAAAACTGAGTGCGAAGGGTTGGGAGTTAGAAGGAGACTTTACCCTTATACCCAATATTCATACTTTTCACATTTTGAACCATGTGACTGTATCACCTCTTTTAAAAATCAAAAACAAGTGAAAAACAAAAATGAATTATCTCTATTGCTCTGATAAATGTGGGCTCATTTTACTTATGTGTATATTAATTGAGTTTATTGCCATTCAACTTCAAGAATTAATACTTGAAGAAGTTAAAAGTTTACTATGTCTACTCCTTTTTAATAGAAAAAAACCAATCTGTCAAGAGCATATCTTACATACCTGTAATTTCTGTGGTGTCAAACACCACGAATGAGCTTGTTGCTGTACTGGAGGATGTGACACAGCATGGCCACTACTCCAATTATCAGAAGTATTCTGAGGAAAATTGATTAAAAAAATTAAAAAATATTTGGCTAAGTTCACAGAGATAACAATAATGACTAATGGAGGCCAAATGACTATGAATTGGTATATTTATATATAAAAAGGATGTTATAACATTAAATTGTTTTAAAAATAATTTAACATGCATAATAAACTCGGAAAATTATAAATTAAAAACATTACTGATTTTTTAATAAGCCACCCCAAAAGGCCCACCCCTAAACTATGGCCCAAATGGCTAACCTAAATACCACACTATCCACTAGATCCAACATTAAATTTATTTCAATGTCAGGAGAAAGTGATAATGAAAAGTGTCTTGAGATCTTAACAGCAGGGAGATGAATAAAATGATTTGATGAATGCAAATTTACCTCTACCTTCTATATTTAATATGATGCTAAGAGTCTGGGATGGAAAAATTCAAACCTTTCACTCTTTGATGTCCACAGATTTAAAATAAAGGACAGGAGATGTTCAAACTGCACAATTTCAGGGCAGTTGGAGCTTGTTTTTTGATTGGGATGTTCTATTTCTCTAAAATATATACCTTTGTTGGACTAGATGTTCTTTTCCTCTTGGCAGGACTGGACAGGTCATCTACTTGGCTAGAAGGAATCATGTGTAGTGGCAAGGATTGCTGTGAAATTGGTGTCTGACTGAGGCCTAATACAGGTTCAGTATTTGGATGATGAGGTTTACATGCCTAAGAATCACAGAAGGAAGACAAAAATAGGGTTCTATATATTCTTAATTCATTCCTTCAAATTATAAAACTTTTACAAGCTGCATACTTTTCAAAGCTATGTGGACATCGCTGATTGCAATTATTGAAAAGCAAAATCAAATGAATCATCAATGGAGGAATGTGTACCTTCCTTTGAAAAACTTGCTTTCAAAATTAAATAAACCACTGCAGAATTTTATTTTAAAGAAATCTCTTTTAAGATCATGAAAATCCACAAAGGTTCTAAGCTGGTACCCCAAAATTTCTTCCCATATCAGAGGGAGTTTTATTTTGATCTAGAATCCCTTAGTAATCATATCAAAAGGCTTTTCATTAATAAAAGCCTCCTGTGCTTAGTAAAATAAGCTTGACCACTACAGATTGTAAAGAACCCTTAAAGCTGGGCACCTGCAGAACATAACCCAACTTCTCACCTGCTGTGCTGTGTTCATGGCACCCTGCCTGGAGGTAAGCTCTGCGGGGATTGGTAGGCTCCATGCCTCCTCAATACTAGGAAGTAATTTAGTTTTATTCTGTAGACTACCTTGTGGAAGGTTACACAACTGAGCCTAGGAAAAATTATGTAAAAAGCAAATTTAACACAAGCCTATTTGAGTAAGAGCAAGTCCACTAAATCTTCCTAAATGCTATCGCTAATTGCTTTTAAAAGAAAATAAGAGTCTAACTTTGGGGTTTTAGAAAGATACTAATTATTAAAAGGGTAACCGGAATATAAACCTTTGTGAGAATCAGAACAAAGCTGAGCTCTGTTTTCAGAGTTCTCATAGCTGTCTTCTCATGAAACTTCAAGCAAGAGTGAAAGACAGTGTTTGTGTTCTTTTCTCTAAAATGCTATGACAACTTAAAAATGCAGACAGTACATAGAAAAAAATATGTAAATTAATATGCATCAACAGAGTAAATGTGCAAAAGAGCATCTTTTAAAATACTGCATATCTTACTTAAAATGAAAGTAAAAGAATATTACAAGCTATGATATGTTTACAAAATATGGAAACAAATTATAGACATCAAAACACAACTAGACAAACTTTCCAGCCACCCTCCTCCTGCCTGAATGCCATGGGGAAACAGGTGCCTTTAAAACACTTCCATTTTAAAACTTTACCTGTAAATACTTAATCCGTGCTGCAAGTGCAGAGGTGTTACTACAATTTTTGCTTCTAGTTGCATTTAAGTAGCATTTAATGGCATCCTGAGGCTGGTTGCAGGATTCATAGAGAGTGCCAAGGTCCATCCAGGCAGCAGCATGGCCATGGTCTAACTGTACAGCACAAATATAGGCCTGTAAAGCATCCATAGGCTGATTTTGCTGCTGATAGAGTACACTGGAAAGAGGAATTAAGAAAGATTAAGTCAGCTAAGAGCTGCTTAGTTTTACAGCATGTTATAAACAAGGCACATTGTATGTGATGCAGTCATCATTGTGTATCAATTATAATACCATTATTTTTATACAAAGTCTTACCCTATTGAACACCACGTATCTGCACTTGCTTCTGATTTATCAATAGACTGCCTGTAAGATATAAAGGCATCCTGAACTTTCCCAATACTTGAATAGCACCTGGGGGGTGGGGGGATAAAAAAAATTCCATTAGTACTGAAATTAACGAAATTTATATGCTGAAAGAAAAGGATACATATCAAAGCACAGAAAACAAAACACACACACAACTAACAAGCTAATATATTTGTGTGTGTGCACACATGCACAGTAATTATAATCTACATTATAATTTTGTTGTTAGTTGCCTTCCAGTTGGCTCCGACTCATGGCGACCTTACGTATAACAGAATGAAACGTTGCCCAGTCCTGCTCCATCTCCATGATCTTTGGTATGTCTGAGCCCACTGTTGAATATATTGTGTCAGTTCAACTCACTGAGGGTTTTCCTAGTTTTCGCTGACCCTTTACTTTACCATACACGATGTTGTTCTCTAGCAATTTGTCTTTCATTATAATTATTAAATTATAATTAGCCCTTCATTAAATTATAGTCTGTCTTATAGGTGCTAAAGCATGCTGCATTAATGAACTCTGTTAAATTAATTAGAGTCCATATCACTTCAATATTATAATATTGCATTGAACACACACACCACTCTACTTACATAGCTTGATCTCTGATTTCTTATACATGAATAATACAGAGTTAAAAACAAAGGAAAATACTGTATGTGTTATGGATTAAACTGTGTCCCCCCAAAAAGATATAATGAAGTCCTACCCCCTACTTGTGAAAGTGACCCTGTTTAGAAATAGGGTCTTTGAAGATGTTATCAGTTAGGTTAACACGAGGTCGTAACTCTACTAGGGTAGGGCCTAATCCTATATGACTGGCGACCTAATAGAAGATACACAGAGATAGGAAGACACTGCAGCTGCAAGCCAAGAAATGCCTGGAGCTACCAGAAGCTAAGAGAAAGACATGGAACAGATTCTCCCTCAAAGTCTCAGAAGAAATCAACATGGCTGATGCCCTGACCATAGACTCTCAGCCTCCAGTACTGTGAGATAATAAATATCTGTCCTTATAAGCTTGTAGGATCTTGTTATGGCAGCCCTAAGAAACTAGTACACTTGGGAAGACTTGCTAAACCCCACTGCTGACGAGTCAATGCTGACTCATAGCGACCTCACAGAGTCTCCAAGGCTATAAATCTCTATGGAAGCAGACTGCCACATCTTTCTCCAGCAGAGCCGCTGGTGGTTTCAAACTGCCAACTTTTCAGTTAGCAGTCGATTGCTTTAAAAGACTTACTAAAATAGATGTCAATTCTTCTTTCCCAAATAATAACACTGAAAGCAATAATTCTTTAATCCATAAAAAATACAAGCCTAAGAAATAGCTAAATATCAAATTAACTACCAAAATAATATAAAATAGGATAAGTGCAATATTTCATGACAAGTAAAGGTAGCAAGGCAGGATTAAAGTTTTAAGGACCTGTCATTTTCATAATGCAGCTGTACCTGAGAGATACACGGAATAGCAACTGAAATTATAAATTCAGAAATTAACTTCTTAGTGTTTGGCACAAAGGGAAAAAGAAAAAATAAAACAGTCCCTATCTTCAAGGAGCTCACAATTTAGTTCAGGATTGAAGACATTATTATAAATACTATAATGAACTATCAAATGGTTAGCACAGACAATAAGTGTTCTCAGAGTTTAGGATAGAAAGAGACAGTTGAATATGGTAGGATTTAGGAAAGGCAAAAAAGAGAAGAGTAAAAAGAAGGGAACTGATTATGTATGCAGAAATGTATATGATTTAGATCAATGATTCCCACTTGCTAGCCAGTATATGGCAATTTTGCCAAGCAAACAAAATAAAAAAACAACAATACGTAATGGTAGTGGAATGATTTGGAAAAGGACAGCGAGAATAATTGTACAACTTGAAGAACATAATCAAGGTCACTAAATTGTACATGTAGAAACTGTTGAGATGGTGTATGTTTTGTTATGTATATTTTCACAACACAAACTTAAACACATATATACATCAAGTTTTTCAATTAATATTTGTATAGCAATTCACTAATTTTGGAATACTGTTGACTGACAGCTAAGCAGCAAAAAATGTTTAAATGTCTTTACTTGCCCAAACACTGTATTTTGGTCTTCATAAATAATCTTTGAAACTTTATTGGTTTGTGTAACCCAAAAATCTGGGAACCATGGATTAAGGCACAGAAGACCAGAGAAGGCATTTCAAAATGCTTTGAACACTATCATCAGAAACTAGTGTATACGGAACAACACGGAATAAAAGAGAGAACTTTAAATTCAGCCCAAGACTGACCTGAAGTCTGCTGTTTTAACAAAGGGGAGTGGCATGATGAAAGCACTTTATCGGAACATCAATCAGCTAACAATGTGTACAGGAGACTAAAAGGAAAATAAATTATGGACAGGCAATAAAAGAGGGCTGCTCCACTCACTGGTCTGGTGTAGGCTAAAATTAGGGTGGAAGTAATGGAAATGGCAAGGAAAAAAAAAAAAACAGGGGAGAAAGAATAAACCAAAACAATGATAGTGACTTCGTGACCAATTGATTTAGATATTGGGTGGCACCTATAATTTGCTTTTAAAACCTGGTTAAATAGAAAAAAATGGTGATGTCATTGACAAAAATAAAAGTAGGAGGAGCTAGTCTGTGGAAAAACATGATGAATGTGGTTTGAAATATGCTGATTTTGACGAGGTGAGGACATTAAAATGGGTAACAGCAGATAGTTCCTGGGTGGTGCATATGGTTAAGATACTCGGCTATTAACCAAAAAGTTGGAGGTCCAAGTCCACCAAGGCATGTCTTGGAAGAAAAGCCTGATGATGTACTTCCAAAAATATCAGCTATTCAAAACCGTGGGGGGGCACCCAAGACGGCGGAGTAGTCAGAAGCTTCCGGTGAACCCTCTTACAACAAAGACTTGAAAAAACAAGTGATTTGATTATATATGGCAATCTGGGAGCCCAGAACATCAAAGGCAGAGTTTAGGAACCGGACTGAGTGGCAGGGGGAGGGAGAGACAGTTTGGAAGCAGCGAGGAGTTGCCAGACATGACACAGCAAGAGCCTGAGCACTTCAGGCCTGATCAAATCAGGGGTGAGAGTGAGGCAGGCAAGCTGTGGTGCTCGGGAGGCATGTTTTCTGTACCAGGAGAGACCGAGCGCCAGAAAGTCTACACAGCTATCCAGAACCAGTGAGAAGCAGCCCTACATCAGCAAAAGATAAGTAATTGCATAGGGTCTACTGCACAGATTGAAAACACCCCCCTTAGGGAAAAACTTCTCTCCCATTTACCTCCCCGCTCCCTGCTCTACACTGGGTCCCAGACCGACTTCAGCAATTACCAAGTCCCTGGGCCGGAAGTAGGAGCTGTCACAGGCCCGAAGCCATTCTCCCTGCCTTGGAGAGTGAAAAAATTAACCAACAGGGGAAGAAATAAACTGGCGGCTCCCCTAAGCCAGGAACCCAGGGTAGGCACAGCTCCTTTGCCTACGCATAGGCATAAGGGATTGAATGACTTAGAGTGCCCTTCAACCTCTACAGACTTCTGTGGGCCCATCTCAACAGCGCAGGCCCTCATTACTGCAGTACAACAGGGTATATACCGAAGTCAAACTTAAACTGTTTCACCTGTGAACTGGCAGCTTCTTGCTATTTGACACTGCTCTGCCCATTAAGCAGGGTCTTCACCTACCCGCATCAGGGGCCTGAGGACTGGTGGCTCCACCTATGCCACCTAGCTACTTGCGATAGGAGCCAATAAATAAAAGATGCCCCGCAGTCCTTAAAGCCAACAGCATTAGGTGCTAATAGTCGGGCTGACAAAACCCACCCACCTACACGCTCTAGGGAACAGGAAAATGCCTTCCTCCTGGAAACTCAGGGGTGGCCATCAGCCCCCTGCCTTGCTCAGAGTGTGTCCCCCTGCTGTAACCAGATGCCTGTGCCTACACCAATCACCCATGCCTATCTAGAACCGTAAGTGAGAGACTACAGCACACACTTGGTGGCCATCTACCTGGGCACCTGAGCTGAATCCATACAAGAGGAGTAGGCAGACTCCAGAACTCACATACCTAGCAACAGATCTAAACACCTGGTGACAGGACATTAGAGCTTCAAAGGTGCCAATAATCAAACTAGCTCAAACAACAAGCCTATTTGGGAACATCAAAATAAAACAAGAAGCTGGGACACAGTAAGCAAACATAAAATAAATAAATATAATAACTAACGGATGGCTCAGAGACAACAGTCAACATCAAATCACATAAAGAGGCAATCCATAATGGCTTCAGCAAGCTCCCAAAGAATCTAGAAATCTTCCAGAGGAGGAAAATTTCTTGGAATTACCAGAGGCAGAATACAAAAGATTAATATACAGAACTCTTCAAGAAATTAGGAAGGAAATTAAGCAAAACGCAAAACACACAATAGAGGAAATTAAGAAGATTAGAGAAGAGCATAATGACAAATTTAACAGGTTGCAAGAATCCACAGAGAGACAACAATCAGAAATCCGATTAACAATAAAATTTCAGAATTAGACAACTCAATAGAAAGTCACAGGAGCAGAACTGAGGCAATGGAAGTCAGAATTAGTGAGACTGAAGATAAAGCACTTGACACCAACTTATCTAAGGAAAAACCAGACAAAACAATTTTAAAAAAGTGAAGAAACCCTAAGAATTATGTTGGACTCTATCAAGAGGAATAACCTACAAGTGACTGGAGTACCAGAACAGGGAGGGATAACGGAAAATACAGAGAGAATTGTTGAAGATTTGTTGCAGGAAACTTCCCTGATATCGTGAAAGATGACAAGATATCTATTCAAGATGCTCATCAAACCCCACATAAGGGAGATTCCAAAAGAAAGTCACCAAGACATATTATAATTAAACTTGCCAAAACCAAAAATAAAGAGAGAATTTAAAGAGTGGCTAGGGATAAACGAAAAGTCATCTTACAAAGGAGAGTCAAGAAGAAAAAGCTCAGACTAATCAGCAGAAACCATGCAGTCAAGAAGGCAATGGAACAACATAT